GGGGCTGGCTTTTCTCCTGACTCCTGCTGGCTTCCCCTGGGTCCTGCTGTCCCTGGCTCTGTCAACTTTGAATGGCAGTTAGGAGCAGATAAACATTAATTTTCTAAAGCTTTAGGTGCCCCATGGGCTAGCTAGAATGCCTGGTGGGTTGGATCTGGCCCAGGGGCCAAATTTTGCCCGCCCCTGTTAAAGACCTACTAAAAGTCTGGTAGATCTTTTAGAAACTATGAAAAGCACAGAGAACATTCAGATATTGATTTATTTAAGAAACATCACTAATTCAAATGAAGTTGCAAGAATGCCACAAAAATAAATGGCTAACCTACAACACAATAAAATGGCTAGTCTACATTTTACAATATAGTAATGCACAGTATCAGTATAGCTGGTTTTCCATGGAGACATTTTGATTTTCCTAAATTTTGCAATTTTCTTGCATAGGAAAGTCAAGGTAATTAGTTTTAGGTTGAGCACAGCCATATTGAAGGAATTTTGTTTTAGACCATTTCAATATTAAACCAGAACCACTTTGACCTCTATTTATGTCTCATACGAGTTGTAGTTGAGGTACCTCATTTTCTCCAGCTCTTTGGTCAAATTTTATCTCCCACAAGACTTAGCTGTGTCATAGGAGTCCTTACTTAAGTTTGACAAATGCAGATCCTTGCCCCTTGGGGATGTTGAAATGACACACTTCATCAGGTTTGGATCCATTTTTTTTCCAGAATTACTTGTTCCATGAAAACTTCTACATTTCAACTTTTTATCAGAATATCAGAGAGAGAGAGAGTCCCCACAGGAGGGGAATGAAAACTTTCTTTCAGGTCTCCTTGTTAAATATGTAATCAAGGTATCACAGTATCTGCCATCAGCATGAACTATCATTTCTTCCTCTGACTTACTGTAATCATTTGTCTACCCCCAACCTAGTTTTCTCCCAGGACTTTTTGTCCAACCAATCCCAGTCCTCTCACACCATTGGCTCCTTGTCTGAGCCAATGCCATCCCCAGCTTTTTCAGTCTATTTCAGTCTCCTCCCCTTGTCCAAGATTTCTAATTAAAGTAAGAGTGAATTGATATGAGAGAGAAGTGGATTAACCAAACTGATATAGCATATAAAATGACCAGGGAGGACAACCTTCCCTTCTCTCTTCCCCGCTTCCCCAGCTCCCCTGCCACACAAAACCTCTTGCCTTTGAGTTCTTTGATCAAGTAAAAGATAGACAATTTATGAAAGCATAAACTATTGCATAGTGGACAGAGGCAAGATTCACTTCAAGGAATATCAACACTTTGTATCCCACTAAATCTCTCAAATTTGGATACTAGTGACTTTCACCTCATATCATAGTCACCTTTGGTATATTTTAAAATCAGGTTATGATGCTTCTTACATTACATACATCTAATTCAAATGTACAAGTCATAACCACAATTAATGCCAACCAAATTGTGCCTCTCAAACACTGAAAACAATTTCCACTTCAGTCAATGGAAGTTATATGTATATATTCAAAAGCACTGCCTGGTGCTTAACAACAACAATTTATATTATATAGCTAATAAAAATGCGCTGGATCTTGATAAAATGGTTTGTATCCATTTGCGAACTCCTTCAGATTTTTTACCTATTTTTTAGAAATAATTAGTTACACATTTCTTGATGTATTCCAACTCTCTGTAATATGAACCATATCATACTTGTGATGCTAGTCATCGCTGTAACTGGGGGTTATACTGGACTGAAAGCTGAGTACAAGTCAGCAGTATTCCCTTGGTTCAAAAAGCCAATAGCTTACCAGGTTGCTTTAGGAGGTATGTCACCTGCAAGTCAAAGGAAGTGATTCCTTCACTCTATTCGGAACTGGTAAGGTCTTACCTGGAGTATTCAATGCTGATGAGGCTCACCTGGAGTACTGAGTCCAGTTTGGCACTGCATCAAGAAAGATGCAGAGTTCATGGAATCTCCATCCTCAGAAGGTTTTTTTGGAGAGAGGTTAGGTGAAAGAGATATTTATACAGGAATAATCTTGTCTTGAGCAGGGGGCTGCAATAGGTGACCACCCAGGGTCCTTTCCAGTCCTATTTTCTATGACTTAATAATCTTTCACATCTTTTTTGTGGCTGCCAGGTAATATTAGTAAAGTGGGTATAACAGTCATCAGTCACTTCTAACCTAGTACAGGCAACCCTTGCTTAACACGGTTTTGCTTACCGCAGTTTCGCTATAGTGCTCATTTAACATACCACTTTGCACTCAGCACAGTTCGTTATAACGCTGAGCGTGGAAGTGGGGAGAAGTGACAGCATCGGCATCAAGTGAAACAGTGAGTGGCAGCTGGCATGGGCCTAGGGCGGGGTGGCAGGAGTGCAGGGTCCACTCCAGTCAGCTCCAGCTGGCGGGCAACAATGAGAAGGGGCAAATGGGAGGGTGGGCAGTGGGCGTGAGTGTGAAGCCCAGGCTGGTGGGGCCCAGGACGGGGCAGCAGGAGTGCAGGGTCCTGGAGCAGCCAGTGGCCAGCAGTGCTGGAGCGGCCAGTGGGTGGGCATGGAGGCATGGTGGCAGTGGTGGTAGCAGCAGTGAGAAGGGCTGGGTGGGAGGCATGACCACAGAGCTCAGGCCAGTGCCTGGGGCCAGGGTTGGCAGGGCAGCAGGAGTGCAGGGACTGGGCCAGGGCCAGATGGGGCGGCAGGAGTGCAGGTCCCAGGCCAGTGCCCAGGGCTGGTGGGGCAGCAGGAGCACAGGGCCTGGGGCCAGAGTTGGCAGGGCAGCAGGAGTGCAGGGCCTGTGTTGGTGCATGGAGCCAGGGCCTGCAGGAGCACAGGGCCAGGGCTGGTGGGGCGCAGGGCGGGATGGCAGGAGCGTGGGGTCTGGGTTGGCAGTTGGTGCTGGAGCGGCCGGCGGGTGGGCGTGGAGGGGTGGCCAGAAATGGTGGCACCAATTATATTTATCTACATTAATTTCTATAGAAAAATGAGTTTCGCTTAGCGCGGTTCCACTTGACACTCATTTTTTTCAGAACTAATTATGAGCGCTAAGCAGGGTTGCCTGTAGTCCTAGTACATGAATGCAATAATTTATACAAATTGGGACACTTTTAGAATAAGCAACAATTGTAAATTGCATAGAACAAATTTCTAATCCTGTGGTCATCTCATGTACAAAAAACTAGAGGTAGATCTTTGGGCAGTGATGGTGGTAATGCCTATTTTAATTTGTTCAAGCAAATGAAAAAAACACACTTGAATTAACCTGAAATTTTGTACCACTCTTTATTCCAAAAATGCCTTTGAGACATTCCTGTTTGGAGATTTTATTAGATACAAAATTGTAAGAGTTTTGACTAAAGCAGAATATTTTACATACATTCTATATCACAGGGTACATTAATTACATTATGAAAAGGTCTTATGATTGGTATATTGCCAGATAAAAAAATAAATACAGATGACAGGTTAAATAGCTCCTTAACATTATGCCAAATTTTGTGAAATTAAGAAAACAGTGCCCTATGCTTAAGTCATAAATGTAGGTGACCAATGTTTTGCCATTTGCCTTTGACCTGTCATCTGATACATGACTTGACCTTTGACTACTTCAGTGGTAGTGACACTCACTTTTACTGACAAACTTGCTTCATCCCATTTTGATTGTTTCAGTTACAGTGGTAATATCTGCTTTGTTATTTTTCTCTGAAACAAGATCTGTACAGGAATGAGACTCTTGTTTATTATATGAATGTACCTAAAAATGTGCATCTGGAGAGAGAGAATCACCTATAACTTTTATGAAAGCTGAACAGTGTGCCTCTCCAACTTCATTGCTGGCAATACAGACATATTTCCCAGTGTCAGCAAGGACAACATTTCTTTTTAAAAGGTAATAGCTGTCTCCTAATTTATCAATCTGAAAGACAATAAAATGCATACAGAAGATTATTAGTAGCGCCCAGAGGCATATACTCTGTCCCTCCCCATGGAACATTTTAGGAAAGTTAAGACATACACTAATGTCTCCATCTACCACTTGGATATCATCCTTAGTCCAAACGACATTTGGTCTGGGTCTTCCATGTACAGTGCAATGCAGGATTAAATCTTCTCCTTGTTGTAGAGTTTTATGTCCAAATTTTTGTATAAAGTCTGGCAGTTTTCCTTGTACTGAAAAAAAGTGCACGCTAAACTTGAAATGGCACAACTAAAAGAAGAAACTACTCTCTGATTTCTACTTTGTACTGTATGGAAAACTAATTAATGCAATAATAGTGGCCAAACATTTTTAATCTATGAGAAACAAAAGAGGGAATAGGGTATCTGAGTAAAACTCTTCTTGACGAATAGAGGAGTTAAGCATCTAAAACCTTTCATGCATTGGCACTGTGGTATTAATTTTGAGGTACTGTTAGATACATTCTTTGTGTGGGTATTGAATAAACATAAGGCTGAATTACAACATTGCAGTGAATAGTACAAATACATATCAAGGTTAGCCATATCCATTTTAGGCTTACAGATGCACGCTTTTTTCTTTACTCTGTGTATCTGTTCCATCCTTCAAAGTTGGGATCTTACTGGTATACAAAAATGCTATTTTATAGGAGTGAAAAGGTTCATGTGTTACTTAACTTCTAGTTAAATACTGTTTTGAAGATGGCAGTGAAAGAAATAGAGTAGATTTTCAAAAAAATACACAGGTGTAATGTTCCATACCACACTATACAAATTTAAGAGATACTAAGCTAACCATACTTTCCATGTGACCCAGATTATTTTGAAGGTAAATCCTTTTTGTACCTGAGTATCTAATAATCTTAGAATAGTGAGTCTTAATCAGGGTGCTGGGGCACCCAGGGGTGCTTTAAGATCCTTAAAAGGGTGCTGCAAAGTGTGAGAAGATAAGTCAGGTATGAGGAGATAAGTGCAGACTCAGTCTCAGTCCCTGCCTGGATGTCCCGCTCCCCAGCTTCCCAGCCCCTCTGTAACTCCTTGCACTATAATAAATAAGTTCTTTAAACTCACAGAAGTTATGAAGGGGTGCCTTGAGTCTACAAAGGTTAGAATCACTGTCTTAGAAGAACAGACAGTGTTTCAGGGCCTTCTTCAAATTAAAACTCCCAGACTTTTTTTAAGGTTTATCAAATTCTAAGCCTTGCGGCAGAGCAACTCCATACTTGCACCAGGGCAACTCCATTGCCTCATTAGAGTTACTCCTGCAATAGAACAGCAAATCAATGTACCCTTCATTCTAGTGCTCAGGAACATGTAGTGACTGACACCAAATGTAAAAATGTTCTCAGTCCTCTTGGCATAAACAGTGGTAACTTCAGGAATATCAGCAAGATCAGACAGATATTTTCACCACCCTGTTCTAATGAACCTATTTCTTTCAGTGGACTTGCTGGCTATGGACTTTTAATTCACAACTACAGTGGTAATTGTAAGCCTTTGCTGCCTCTGCATCTGTCCCCCTACAAAAGCCTTTGCACAGGGACCATGTCACTAGTGAGTAGGGCATGGCAGCAAGTGTGGCCAGCACAATCTTGTGTCCTTATTTTCTCCTGACTACATTAAGAAAATGGCTATAACAATTAGCTCAGGAGAAGGTTCAAGCAATCATTTTTTGCATTGTACGCATAACAGAGACACAACATATGTAATCAGTTCCTCCTGAACTGAAGCAGAGGCTTTATGCCACAAATAAACAATGGATGTGACTGGCACAGTGGAAGAAACAGCCTACTGGTGACATATTAACGGTGTCAATTGAAAACAAATAACATTTGATTATTGCTAGCTATAGAGGATAGGTTTGTCCACTCTGATTTTTGAAGAGCAGATATTTAAATGATTGTTGTACAACAGAACTGCAAGGTGGAAATGATCCAGATTTGATTATTTTGGCTTCCTATTGAATGCTAGTGTATGCTACAAAGTTAGTTGCACAAATTGATTTAAAAAAAATATAACTTTTGATCTTCTAAGCTTATCACACTCTTGGGAAACTGGAAGGAGATAGACATTCCAGGTCTTCAGTGGCATCATTCTAATTTCTGTCTATGATGTTTCAGAATGCCTAAAATCTGTCATGGGTCCAGGACTGCTTGTTACAACAGCTGATACTAGTTTGACTCTTGGATTTCATGCTTAGAGTAAAGAATGTTAACAAAATGTTAAAATTGCAGTCAGATGAAAAAGATATTGGGGGAGGGGCCAGATGAAAAAGATGTGTCAACATACAGTTTTCTGGTTAGCTAGTAAGTGAAGCAATGAAAATACATAAGAAATGCAATTTATCACATCATTCTTAATTTATTACATAGTGTTCCTTACCTGCACCTCCCCCGCCTTAGCAAGTGAATGATAAATTGCAATTAGTAAGTGAATGATGATAAATTGCATTTAACATTCACATTAGAATATTTTACTTCACAGAGGCGCAGCAACATGTGTAATTAATGTGATGCAATAAACTCTGGTGCATATAGAGCCAGAGTTTATATTGCTTCCATTTACATGTGTACCCGGGACTGCACCATGTTGAGCTAGGTTGGAGTAGTGTTTTCAGGCAGGGAACCTAGGGGGTTATCCTGCCAGACTGGAGTTGCTCCGATCTGGCTCAGTGTGCTGCAGAGGGGCTGGCTGGGGCACAAGGGTGCTCCAGTATGAGGCTAGCCAGCAGGCAGCCCCCTCACTGAAGCACTTTCATGCCCCAGCCAACCCCATCAGCATCTACATGTGCTTTGCTGCATGCTTAAGAACACTGCCATAGCATAGTACTTGTGGTTACAAGTACTAACCTATGGTGGAGTTAATTCGTTTACTGTGGCCTAATAGGGCTGCACATGTATACACTGGGCACATCTACATGTGTGCTTTAATGAGAATTAGCCTATTTTAATGTGCATTAAAGCATCAAAAAAACCCCATGTTCTTTCACTTATGTGCATTAAAATAGGCTAATGCACATTTTTCTAGTATCTCACAATGGAGGTACTAGATTTAGTGTGCATTAATGAACATGTAGATGTGCTCACTGTGACTTTTCTGTGTAGCTAATTAGTCAGCTCCACAAAAATGTCTTGCATAGATGTGCCCATACACTACTAATCCATCTCCTTTTGGAACTAACATTTACAAAATTATGAGAAGCTTCATAAGATGATATTTAACAACACGTTTCAGCTTTTCTCTTCCTAACATGGGATTTTGCTAAATAGCTGTTCTGGACAGACAATATATAGTTAGCAAGAGATTTCAGGCCCCATCTCTACATTTAAACTATAAATAGTAGCTTTATATCAAGGACTAATGAAGGAACTCTAATGTTTTTATAACATCTCTACTTGTCCCAGACTACCCCTTTCATTTTTGCAGGACTCCATTACCTAGGTCAGCAGTCAAGAACCTTTTAATGCTGTGGGCTGGAATGACTCAGTTTGGGTCAGAGGTAGGTGGGTGCTACCTGGTAAGAACCTACCTGCCACTGTCTCTTTTCTCCATGGCAACATAGGGATAGTGCCTGCAGCTGGCACTTTTCCCCTACAGCACCATGGGAAAGCAATTGCTGCCAAGGCCCACTGCTGCTGAATGTCTGTGCCTGCAGGCCAGATCCAAAGAGGACTGTAGGTGGCCAACCCCTGACTTAGGACTAATGCAGACTCAGAGTTGCATGATGCAATTTTCAGATCTGAACTTTACATGAAGAAAAACAAATCCTACCATTTTAAATAGGTTGCTTAATCTGCCTCAGGAAGATCCAAGCCAAGATCAGTTTATAAGCGTTGCCCTGCTCAACAAAGTCCCCCCCCAGAGTAGGTGTTGCCTTGCTCAAAGTTCCCCCAAAGTAAGCATAGGATAAATCAGACTACACCAGAGTTTCCTCAGAAGAAGAGATTCACTTTCTTACCCTCAAGTCCAGCCATCTTTGAATCCACAATTGGAAGGACAGCTTCAAGCCTCCCACCCCACTTCCCTCTTCTGCGGTGACTCACTGATTACTTACACCTGGCCAATCCCAGTCATGGCCCTTCTGAAGAAAGATAGCATTTAATCTTTGTGGGTCTCACTGGAGCATTGAGTAATATGAACATTGATCAGTGCATATACAGCTCATATAAAAGCTTTGTTAGAGGACTGACTAAAGCAGGCCTCACCAAAGGCTGAGTTTACACCCAGCAGGGCCTTAGATTGGAAGGCATCTGGGAGATTAGGCTTTACAGACTTCTAAGGAGACTGATAAAGTTGATTGTTAAGACTGGTGCCAGAGTCCAGAACATACACGATAATAAAAAGACGCACAGTGATTAGGGTAATTTGGTAGAGATATTTATGTTTTCTATGTACACTTTCAAGGTATACAGAATTGTTTTGACCTATGTATAAGAGCAGTACTGGAAACCCTGGGAACTGTGCATAAAGCCTAGGGGACACATATGTGAGTTGTGCCTATGCTTTATGGCGAGTATCCAGGGCTAACACCTTATAAATTGTTGGACATGTTTGTTAGTGAGTTGGTACTTTGTAGGTAATAAACCTGGCCAAGTATTTACCACTAAACTGAGTTTGTAGTCATTCTTTGTGTAACATCAGGGTCTGTAAGGAAACAAAAGCTGCAACAGCACAGGCAAGCTGACAGAGCAGAGTGTTCATACACAGGGAACTACACTACAAGACAATGGAGGACAGCAATCCTTTTCCAATCTTCTCCTACCCGAACTTCTGAGAATGCCTATCACACAGTTCCACCCCTTTACATATAGCTGGGAAGTCTTGCTCACTACCACGCTTTTTTTCAGTGAGTACATAAAGACAGACAGAAAAAAAGGAGAGGTTGAATTATCTAGATATATTTTTAAGTAATACTGCTGTCTCAAAGACATAGGGCTTGAGTTTCAAGATAATTCTCCATTATAAAAGTCAATCATTTAGCAAGACATGTAAATCTATTTGTACCTGTAATGAATTGTAATGTACCTGCAATGTTCAAAATTGTGAGTGCAATTAATGAAAGTCAAGGTTTAATAAAAATCTTATAGTTTAATAGTCAGTTTGCATACAAATGATGACAAGAAGGAGGTGGATAGAAAGTATGCAGCATTCAGAAAATGTTTTTCTGTGGTAGCCTGAAAGCAAAATTCATGCTTTCATGTGTTTACTGTAAT